GAAGAAGCCCAGAAGCTCCTGAACACTGGAATTCTTTCCAGAAAGGCAAAGAGAGATCTAGACCCTGGTTCTGCCTACTATGGGAATCACTCCCATTGGGTGGGGGGAGGCTCAGTTTCCCCACTTCTAAGATGAGCAGGGCAAGGGAGATGGCTCAGCTGGTGAAGGAGCTTGCTGTCCAGCCTGATGACCTGAGTTTGACCCTTGTCACTTAAATAGTACAGGGAGAGAACCAACTCCTGAAAGTTGTCCTCTAACCAACACATGTGTGCTGTGATACATACAGGTGTGTATTTGGTGCATGAGCACACCCACATCCATGCATAGTGAACAAAAATAAAATGTTTTTATTTAAAATGTATTTATTTAAACAAAATAAATGTTTAAAAAAAAAAGTGAGACAGAGCCGGGGCTTGCCGTACCTATAGGACCTAGCCACTGTTCCCCATCTTCAGGACCTAGCAACTGTTGCCCCATTTTCTAGATCTGAACACACCTTGATCCCAGAGGCCATTAGCCTGGGGGTTCATTATGGAGGCACCTGATCTGCCTCTTCTCACCAGCTTCCTCTTCTTCATCCTCTTCCTCCTCAGCTGCCCGGGGTCCTCTGGCTGGTTTCTTATTCTCCCCTGAGCTGCCTCCTTTGCTTCTGGAGTAGCCACCAAGTTCCACATGGAGGTCTGGATCCAGGAGTCTTTCTTTAAGAAACATACAGAGGCTGGGTGTTGGTGGTGCACGCTTTTAATCCCAGCACTCGGGAGGCAGAGGCAGGTGGATCTCTGTGAGTTTGAGACCAGCCTGGTCTACAAGAGCTAGTTCCAGGACAGCCTCCAAAGCCACAGAGAAACCCTGTCTTGAAAAACCAAAAAAAAAAAAAAAAAAAAAAAAAAAAAGGTACAGAGAAGACACAGAGGTAGATGAAACCTAGACCTAACCCCAAGGCATCCTTAGCTCTGCTCTGACAAAGGCCCTGAGCTTGCTTTCCCATTCTGGGTCTTAGTGTCTGTCTGCTTCAGCTGTGAGCTATTGTTTCTTCCTGGATCCCTTCTGGCTGCCCAAGGCCAGAGAATCTCCAATCCTTACCAAGGTCAGAGAAGTAGGCGTGGGCTTGGAGGTCCAAGCTGGGACTCAATAGGCTGCAGGCACCTGTGAGTTCAGAGTTAAGGCTGCTGGGCTGCCGGGCCTGTACCTGAATGCATACCTGGGGAGAGGCAAAAAGAAGGAGCAGGCAGGCTGAGTCCACCCCATATTCCCTAGTAACAGCCACTGTCTCCCCCATTCCAGAATGCAGTGGCTGAACTAGTTAGAGGACAGAGGAAGAGCGGCCTCCCTCCTCAGGTCAGAAGTCACTTGCTAGGGTCAAAAATGCAGCCAGTAGGCTCTGGGCCAGACTTGGCATCTGTGTAGATGGTCAGACCACAGATAGATGGCAGCATAGCAACAGGATTGGCGATACCATCACCACCCACAGGGGCCAACACCAGCCTTCCCAAGGCTCTTTGGTCCTCCTGCCTGTGTACTCACCAAAATACCATGGTGGTTCCGGACCACTGTCACTCCTTTGTAACTGCCCTTTGGCATAGAGATATTTTCTGAAACAGTTAAGCGAGGAAGGTTGAAAGGATTCTGGGAGGCACAGGGCTGCTGATGTCATCAGCCTCTGGACACGGGTTGGGGGGCGCCACAGACCAGAGTAGCTTGAGCATGCCAGGATTCATTCCCTGTCCAGCCTCATTTACCATCTCAACAAAGACTCTGGCG